TTAATGATAGGAAAGAGATCTACTTTACAAAGACATTGCAAAAAATAAACTTTAAGCTTGCATAAAGGGGGTCACAGTTTATAATTAAAATATTTATTTAAAATAATGTGACAGCTAATTACAGTCTTAATTTCTCTGGGTTTAAGCTTAGTCTGTTGTCAGTATTAACTTCATCAAATAACAAATGATAGAGAGGGCTCCTAACAGTTTTCCTTCCCTCTAACCCTACCTCACGCCATGCCAAAGAAAGAACAAACAAGATACTCATTTTTTTTAAATGTACTTAAACTTTACAATCTTAAGGAAATCTTGTTTTAAGGAAAAACAGTTATTTACTTATTTTTAATATTTTTTCCTCTTGTGGAAGTGTTATTGGAAAGTACCACAATCGGTTGCAATGTTAAATCAAAAACACTAATGTTATACTTGGGACTTAAACAACTTTCCCAAATGAGTAGTATCAGAAGAAAAAAAGATACCACATGGGACTTTTATTAATTCTTAGACAAGAAAAAAAAAAAAAAGAAAGAAAGAAATTCCTCTTAAAATCCATTCCACTTTCTTGACTCACTCCCAATGCCAACTCCCTTCCATTTTCCACAGTAGCCTCTGGGAAACACATCTGATTATAGGCAAGGTCCCCTGCCCCCTGATTCTCTTCAGACTCCACCTCTGCCTGAAAGGATACCTGTCTCCTCACCCAGGAAACTGCTTCTCCTGCGGCCAGCAGGAGAGAGAGCTACTCATTCTTCAAGACTATATAACTCCCCTACTTTTCCTGGCAACTCCTCTCACCCTACTTTGAAGCCCAGAACTAATGGCAGTATCACCATCCCTCCACCTACCTAACCATCCAACAAATATATACTTAGTGGCTGCTATGTGCCAGGCACCCTGTTAGATGTAGGCTACAGAACAGTAAATCTCACTGTTAAAGTCTAGTAAGACAAATACCACATGATCACACAGATTTAAAAAATTGCCAATTCTGAAAGAAGAGTAGGAAGCGAATTGAAAGAATGAGGAGGATCTAGTCAGGCCAAAGTAGGGGAAAGAGTATTTCAAAAAAAAGTAGGAATGAACTCAGTTTTCAAGGAAACCAAGTGCAACTGGGCATAGTGGGTGAGGATAAAAATGGTAGGAGAGGGTGAGAAAGTGGGCAGAGCCATGAGGCCAGGAAACTGAGGGCCAAAACATGCAAGAATTTAAGGGTTCTGTTGAGGATTTTGGATATTATTCTAAATGTCATCAGAAACCAGTGGTGGAGTTTTAAAACTTTCATTCCTTAGCACAGTGACCTACTCATTTGCCCGCATCTAACCAGAATGCTTGCCCTTCAGCTCTACTCCAGTTCCTTCCACATCATAGAGGGCTTCCACGCCCACACCTCAGTGACACGGCACCCTGCACGCCAGTGACCTCTGCTCCACCTCAAGCAGACTTCTCACTTTTTCCTTGTCCCTAACTAATCCCCCCTGTGAAAACCTAATTCCAGTACTTCATTGTCAAACCATAACCTCTCACTAGTCCTACTCTTCTATTCCCTAACATGACTGTCCTCCAACCTTTAAATTTTTTATTAACTCATTAGCAAATAATCACACTGGAATAAGTGGAATAAATACTATTTCTTCCATCCCTACCAAGGCATGTAGGCTTCTCAACACCTTTCTCCATGCTAATATCAACATATGTCAACTTACTCATGAGACATTTTTTTTTATTACAAAAGGTGAATCATACCAAATACATAATTCTTTGACTCTTAAGTTTAAAATAAAAATTTTATAAATAAAAATTATGAGCAAATCTCAAACCAGCATATAGATTGAATTCATTCTTTAAGTTGCCGTGCAGTATTCTCGGTACAGACAACGATGCCTGTGGTTCCCCTCCACCAGGGACTTTTGCTTTTTGTTCGCTTCAACAAACTTATGGACCCCAGAACACCTTGAAGCGGGCTCTTCAGTGGAGTGAAGTGCTTCCGGTCTTGGTAGTTGAGAAGAATTGATGCTCGTGACTGAAAACATCTGGGAACAGAATGGTTTTTCACAGCCCTTCAGCTGAGGGTAGCCCATCTCAGGCCATGAGAACTGAAGCCATCTGCCTTTCATCACCTGGTTTGCTACTGCCCCAGAAATGTGCAGGGCAGGCTGCTGACAGGTATTGAGGGAACCACAATCATGAGAAGGCAAGGAAAATTAAAACTCATATGGGGTTTGGAAAGAAAGATGGCCAGCAGAACAGAAACTCGAGATTCCTACTGTAGTGGAATTATATTTTAATGAAAATATAATGGAATTACAGTACTAAACAAACAAACAAAAAAACCCAAACCCAATACTTTTAGGAACTAAAAACATGAGTTCTTAATTAGAAACTCAATATCCAACAGAAAGAGAATGACTGCCCTTGAGAACCACATTATTGGTCAGAAAAATCAGGTGGAAATACCTCACAAGATACCCTGTGACAGACCCCAGGGGAAAAGGCAAGTTGTATGGAGATCATATCCAGGAGACAAAACAAGGAGGAAGAAAGGAACATGTGGAGAGGTAATAATTGCATAAATAACGGGAAAAACTTTTAGGACTCAAGAAAGACTTGAGGCCCTGAATATCAAGGATAGAGAAAACCCTGTCAGGCTGTCAGCACCATGGGACATGTTTCTGGGATAGTGGAGAGCTGGCAGAAAGGACAGTGCTCAGGAATACCAGGGCACTGACTCTGGGCCTCCCTGATGCCGAGTTTGGCACCAGAAGAGCCCAATGTCTGTCCTCCAGGCTACAGTTCTTCTAGGGTCTGGCACATTTCCTGTTGTCCTTTGTCAGGAGCATCTGAACACCAACCCCAGGGACTCCACAGTAGTCATTTCCTTCCACAGTCTATCTGAAACACTGCAGTGACTAATTCTTAACACAGAGGCACAGACTACCTTGGTAAATATTAGAAATAAATAAAAAGGAAATATTCATAGAGGAGGTAAATGCATGATAGTTCTAAGAAACCTCTACCTTTATTTATTTATGTAAATGAAGGTAGTATGGTCAAAGTTAAGAGCAGAGACTCTGGATGCCTGCCACTTACTAAGTCTGTAGCCTTGGACAAGAAAACTTTCTGTGTTTGGGTTTCCTGAAAAATAAATGAACTAATAGCACCCATTAAGCACTACTAAGTATAAAGATTAAATAAGTTAGTACATATTCCACACAGGGAGCTCTGTCCTGCACACAATGAGTCCTCAGTAAATAAGAGCAATACCACTGCCGCTTGCAACAGCAAAATAGCCCTGTACGCAGAACTTTAATTTTAGAATCAGAAAAATTGAGCTCAAATGTCAACTTTAAAATTTAAGAGTTTTATACCATAGTTATGATAGTTAATCCTTCTACACCTACATTTTTTTCATATGTAAAGGAGGAATATAAATACCTTTCTCTCTCAACATCCATTCATCCATCTATCCACAAACAGCCAAGCATCTACTACGTACTGGCTATTGCATGGTGGCTGGAATAGAAATATGAGGAAGGTATAGTTCTGCATTTCAAGAGTGCAGTCTAGTGCACAGTACTCAAGAACCTTAGCTTCCTTTCATTGGAGTATTTCTTAAATCTCTCTTTGCCTCAGGGGGTGAAGAAAGGACCACAAGGGTCAAGTATGTGTTTTGGTAAAAGAAGTATGATTTAAAAAAAAAAAAAAAAAAAAAAGGCAACATTAATATTGTTAGCAACTGTTGGTCAAAAAACATGGCCAGTTCCTGAAATCACTATATTAAGCTATTTTAAGAAAAATACTAATAAGCAGTTGGGTCATTGACAAATAGCTCCTGTAGTTCCTATGGTAGTCTTAAGAGTGAGGGGGACGGACCAGAGAGAAGCAGGATCCCATTTCTAGTCAGAGAAGAAGATAAAACCTCTTGGGGAGACAGCTCTGTTCATAGGCTGGACCATGTAGTACACAATTTGCTTCTCTGAATGATCTTTTGAGACCTGAGTGCTCTTTGAATAAACAGCCCCCAAGCCATTGTCTGAGAGAAGATCCTATTACCTGATTGCTTGTTGACAACATCAGTCCCCTTTTAGAGGATTCTGCCTTAGCACATCGGGTAGGAGACTGGGGGGAGTAAGTTCTTGGTATCTCTTTTATGTCACTGCAATAATGAAGACCTTATCCTACAACTTCTTGGTATTAACAGTGCTTATTTTGATCATCCCAAGTGAGTTGGTTATGGAAAGGGGTGGAACAAGTCGTTCCCTTTAATTTTTTAGTTAATTTAGGGCTTTAGAAGGTCTACAGTGACAATCCCAGACAATCACTAATAAAAAATGAAACAGAAAAGAGACTACAAACTCACAGGAGAGCCCAAATGCCCATTCTTTATAAACAAACAATGTATGCCAACATGTTTTCATCTGTCACTATGAGTTAATATTCTCTATTAAAAGCCTCATAGAAATTATAATGGCATCATACTTGAAACAGTATTAATTTGACATTTGGTATCTTTAGAAAGCATGTAATTATACTATTCTTTAAAAAGATTTTATTTGTTTATTCGATAGAGAGAAAGAGAACACAAGCAGGGGGAGCAGCAGGCAGAGGGAGAAGCAGGTTCCCCGTAGAGCAAGGAGCCCCTTGTAGGACTTGATCCCAAAACCCTGGGATCAAGATCTGAGCTGAAGGCAGCTGCTTAACCGAATGAACCACCCAGGTGTCCCATATAATTATACTATTATTAATAATTATTAACCACTTATTGTTATCAATTAATTAACCACTAATTGTTATTAATTAACAATTAGTAACCACCCAGGTGTCCCATATAATTATACTATTATTAACAATTATACTATTATTAACAATATCCGGAATACTTTCCTTGATTTTATAGATATATATCTATAAGATCAAGGAAAAAAATATATATATAACCACAAAGTAAAACAATTATATATGTTATATATGTTATTCAAAATCATGTATTTGGCTTAAAACTGGCCTAGATTTATTACAAATGATGGCTACAGACAGGCACAAAAAATGATTCTGCCTTTTTTTCTGTGTGTGAAAACCATTCTAAAAATCAATATAATTTAAATAGGTATTTAAACCAGAGCTAAATGAAAATTATCCAGCAAAAAGGAATACTAACATCTGTATCTTATTTTAAAGTTGCAAATGGATAATAAATTGTATTTAAGAAAACTACATAAAAACTCTACTACTACCACCCATAAATTAAAGTATATTTATTATTATTTTTGTACCTAATCACGTTTTAGACTTAGAGTAAAATCTTATTGCTTCTAGAAAATAAATCCAACCATTTATCCAAACATTGTTACATAAGAAGTTTTAAGAAACTGTAAATAATTCTTAATACTCTCATTCTGATTCTCCGACTTTTCAAGACTATGTTGTATTTCCTTCAAACACACTTCCTGGTGTTGTGCTTTCTAAATAAAGAAAAAATCAAGATAATCAATAATGACATTCATATCAAAGGGTAGAGTTATAATGTAAAATTTATATATACAACAATTAAATACATGATTTTTAATTTTTTAAGAGGGAATTCTAACATCTGATATGTGCATTAACAACTTACCTTAGAGCTCACTTTTCTTTAAAATCCAGCATAACTAAAGTACACATATGGTTGATCTTACTGTGATATAGTTTGTTGTAATAAAATCAATGCCAAATGATTACATATTTAACATGATTAACATAATAGATTTTAAAACCATCATAACTATTTTTCATTACATTTAACATGACCTATTTCAATACCAGTTTTTGCCATTTTCATATTTTATACTATAAGACTTTTGTTATCTTAAAAAGTGACAGAACTCTAGTTTTGATAATATGAACATTTTATTTTTAGAATCCTTTAAAAATAAAAAGAACTCTCATTATTATAATAGGTGTTCTCTGAGGGAAAATTAAAAGTCTAATATATTTTTTAAAAATATTCGGTTGCATATAAATTCTCAAGTAGATCTATTCACTGAAAATACTTCAGATAGACAGGCTGCAAATAACATCTAGCTCCCAACTGAAATGTAGGCACCTTAAGAAAAGAATCTTTTATTTCCTTCCTATCTGGTAGTCAATGACACGTGATACCTTCTGAAACTGAGCAATACCCCTTGGGGGCAGTGGAGTGGTATGAAGCAATGTGCTAGGCTGGGCTACACAAAGTATACAGAACGAATACAGCAAGTCTTTGTGAAACATCAGTTTTACTCAACAGTTTGGAGGGCAAAATATTAATAAGAACACACCTCTATTGTAGGGGAGAATGTAAAATGTTCATGGATTTTAGGATAATCTGTTAGACTACCAAGCATTTCAGGCTTCAGGCAGGGCAGCCCAGGTTAAGTTTGGGTCTGTGCATTCACCCTGCTCCAGCTGAAGCACTGGGGTAGAAAATCCAAAGAAGCCTGCTTGTGGGCAGGGCACTGTAGAGGACACTAGAGTATAACCAACTATGAGACTGGCTTTCAGGCTGCTAATAACTCAACTTTGGAGCTAGGACATGTATACAAAATAAATACTGACCTGCCCACGGAACTGTCCCCTGGAAGGGACAGAACACACAGACTCAGCAATGTCTAAATCTTTGCTTAGAATTCTAGATTTTTATTACTATAAAAATTAGCAAGTTTAATAGAATACCACGTCTTAAACTTATTTTGCAGATTTAATCAAGCACTGAGAACATTATAGAGAAACCCAACTCATCTCACTACTTATTTCTTCAGAAGCTTAAAGATTTTTATTTATTTAAAGATTTCACTTATTTATTTGAGAGAGAATTAGTGAGAGAGAGCATGAGAGAGGAGAAGGTCAGAGGGAGAAGCAGACTCCCCAAGGAGCTGGGAGCCCGATGCGGGACTCGATCCTGGAAGTCTGGGATCATGACCTGAGCTGAAGGCAGTCGCTCAACCAACTGAGCCACCCAGGCACCCTCTTCAGAAGCTTTAATGACACATGCTTTATAGTATCAGAAATTCTGATGGTGAGAAAAGAAAATTAAAAAATAAATATATAAATAAAAGAGATTTAGAATAAAGAGCAGACCCATGCTACATTAAAAGTGAGAAATGTTTGTTCTGATTAAACTGCCACGGAAATTTTGATGGTGATAAAATTAAATTAATATTACATAACAAAAATCATTTAACTTTTGAACCTTTCACGTTTTCAACTTTCTAGACACTTGGGAATGAAAAGATAGTGTTTGCTACACCTCCGGCTCCCAGAAAAGATAAAGTATCATCATTTTCTATATCATCGAGTAGACCATTTTCAAGTAATTTAGTCACGACTAGTGTTAGCTTCCATAGTATCTTATGCTAATTGACTATTTTCATGAATACTTTGGAAAAGACATCAGAAGATTAATTAAACACTGAACTTGGGATTCTCATTTCATGGCTGAGTGGCCCACAGTACCTATCTTAAACGCAGATATAACACTGAATATTACTTAATACAAACTCATCACTTTTTAAAGTATAATATTCATTACTCAAGACAGATATCAAAGTCTAACTCAAAATAGTTTAAATTGTATATCTTAAAAAATGAAAAATTTGTACCAGAAATTCCTCTGTATAATTCACTAAGTAGCTGTTGTGTGAAAGTAACATGCAGTAAAGGGCCTGATGAGACTTGCGGAAATGTGCTGGGAGCTACCAAGGATGCAGGGTAGTTATTCTTTGGCATAATCATGACATTTAAAATTTTTATGATTTATATTATTTGTTATTCTTAATATTACCAGTAAAGCACGAGTCCTGATTCTGCTCACTTCATACTTTAACTAAACTACAGGGTAAGAATGTTAACTGCTAATTTATTTTTTATGAAAATACATTAAGCCATACTAATACTTACACTGTTCATTTTGCAAACAAGTTGATTTTGTTCTTCATTTTTCTTTCTAAGCTCAGTTTCCAGATTTAATATTTTAATCTGTAAAGCCCTTTCTCTAGATGACATTTTCTCTATTTCTTCAGAAACCTGTAATTTTCATTAAAAGAGCAAAATAACTAAATATGCTTTTTTTCGAGTATGATCTAAAGTCTTGACATACTTAGACTGTACTTCTTTTTCTGAACAGTTTAATTACAAAATATTTAAAGATGTTCTATCCTGAGGAAACACAAATAACATAAGTATGTTTACTTCTCTTCACAGTAAAAGTATCTGCAAAATTAGCCTGAGATGGAATAAGTATACATATTTGCAGTCCTCTGTGACTCAAGTAGGTGTTTTGCCCAACATTATATTTTTATAACCTATTGAGACCAGCTGGCATGTTGCATGGATTTACATTCACCGTGTGTTCAGAGTGGGGGTAGAGCACAGCAAGTTCTCATTCAGTGCAGACGGCAGACTGGGTAGATGAGATAGGGGCAGGGCATGGGATATAGACCCTTCACTCACATATACAACAAGAGACTGGTTTTTCATTCATTCACTCGCAGAGTGCTCTGAATTTGAGTTCTCTTATTTCTAAGATTGCTTACTTTAGCAGAAAGCTAGCTTAGCTATGTTCATCCAACGATTCAGCTATGTGGAAGCCTATTTGCAAGAATGCTGGGTTGGAGCCACAAGAGTAAGAGCTGAGACAAGGACTAGTTAAGGAGCAAGGAGCTAGTGGGAAGGACTGTCCTCTAATCATGCTCCTGCAAACCCAGTTCTAAGTTATTATAAAGTAATTTACAAAGATTTCTTTGCACCAATTCCAAGGGCAGCAGTATGAGGGATGTTAGCAGGATCTGAAGCTATAGGAGAAAGAGCCTTTGACAACGACCTCAGTTTGGACAATAGTGACAAGGCAGTGACAGCACTCCTCACCTGGCAGGAACTAGAAACAGACAGCCTCACATTCCGGTGCAGCAGGAGAGAAAGAAGGCAGACACATCGCTGGGGACTCTGAACACTTCTCTTAAGGAATCTTAGACACCTAGCATTTCTAGGAGAAAGTCTTTTATTTTCCTCCCAAAGGTTGATGAGGCTGAGAAATCTGGATTACATTTCTATCATCGGCAATACATTTTACAACCTAGCTTTTATCCAAGGATGTATCTTTCAAAATAAATCTAAATTAGTTTCCCAGAGTTATAAAAATACATACATACATATATATATATACACACACACACACACACATACATATATATGTGTATATATGTATGTATATAGCACTTGTGATGTAATAGCCACACTTCAGTGATAACAGATTTTATCTAACTTACATGGAATTGCCATCAACAAACTTGAGAAAGATGTGGGTGGAAGAGAGTTTAGAGGGAAAGACAATTTAGTATTGGACATGTTAAGTTTGAGATGTCATGTAAGCAGCATAATATCTGACTCTAGTTTTCAGGAGAGACAGAAATCTGGGGTGGAGATATACATCTGAGAGTCATCGTGGAATAGACAATCTCTTTTTAGCGTCATTCAATCTGATGAGGAAACTCATCATCCCCATTTCACTAATTAAGAAACTAGAATTTCAAGAAGTGATTCACTCTGGGTCAGGGTGTAATGTGTTAGAGCCAGAATTCAAATCCAGTTCTAGCTGGACTCCAAAGCCCACCTTAAGTCCTTTCAAGACTACATTTTCAAGTCATTTGATAAATTTACCTGTTAAGACCCTCCTACATTATTTCCAACCACCACCCCTGAAAATAAACTAACAATGTCTTTTGGTGTACCTTGTACCTCCCTCTGTTGTAGCACCGACATGCTGGATGACACTTGTCTGTTTATATATTATCTTTCCCCTGGACTATGAGTGTCCTGAGAGTTGAGGCCAGGTCTGTTGGAGGAGGTTATCAAAAAGATGTGACTTGGGGCGCCTAGGTGGCTCAGTGGGTTAAAGCCTCTGCCTTTGGCTCAGGTCATGATTTCAAGGTCCTGGGATCAAGTGCTGCATCGGGCTCTCTGCTCAGTGGTGAGCTTGCTTCCTCCTCTCTCTCTGCCTGCCTCTCTGCCCACTTGTGATCTCCCTCTGTTAAATAAATAAATAAAATCTTAAAAAAAAAAAAAAAAAAAGATGTGCCCTCCATGTGACACACGAGCTGAACCTGGGCAATTATAAGCTCCCCACTCTCTCCCTTGTGCTTTAGATACCTGTTCTGCTTTCCTGCCCTGCTCCCAGAAGCCACTCCAAGTAAAGAAAGAGCCTTGAGAAAGGAATGTGGTGTTGAGGCTATTTGGACTGGGTATGTGACTGAGCCTAGTTAAGGCCCTCTATATAGACTTTTAAGATTCTGTCAGGTGTGGAAATCTAGTCATCTTGTGGCCATCCAAGAAAACTCTTGTGTTCCCTCACTTATCAAACCTGTCACCTTCCAACCTGGAGTGGTTTGCCTCTCTCTATGGTCTCCCCATGCCCTCTGTACACAGGTTTCCCGTAACAGCAGGGAAACTGCCGAGGAGCTTGTAAACTAACAAGGTTTTATTCATCTTTTCTTCTCAAATAGTAGCAGGGTGGCTGACACACAGTGAGATGTTTATTAAATGTTAACCAAATGGATTTAACTGGAAATTTAATTCTTACACGTACTTAATGTAACAATATTGGCCAAAAGAAAAGGGAGTTGAGCTCTATGGCTCACCAGATCCTGATCAAAACCAAAATGCTCAACAATTTGAACAACTGCTTTGGTTTTATGTAAAAAAACAAAAAACAAAAGAAAGAAGATGCAGGGGAGCTCCTTCTATGTTTTCCATCTATGCCTCTACCCTGCCACACCATCATTTACCTACTGAAGTAACTGCACCAGTAACACAGCTACCCTGTCATCAGGATAAAAACAATAACTGTAGGTTTGGTAAGATGAGATATTGTCTGTTTAAAAGAACTACTCTTGGGTAAACTAATTAAAAAGTTTCTAAATAAAGGCCATCTGTACCTTTTGTCTTCCTTCTTCTAAAGCAGCTTCCAGCTGTCTGGCCAGTGCTGTATATTCCGCAGATTTCTCTTTAAACTTAAGATTGCTATGCTTAAGACATTCTTCTTGGTTTGCCAGCTTCTTTTCAAGCTCTTTATTTTCCACATCCATCTGTTCTAATTTTCTTTTTTACAGAAAACATATATTTTAAAATTATAGTGCATAGAGAAAAATGTAACACCAATTTTAAGTCAATTTAATACTTACTGTTTAAGGTTTTCACACTTCAACTGAATAAGATAATTTTCCTCTTCCAGAGAAAGCTTTCTCAGAAGATGATGATTTGCATCAATCTAAAAGGGGAAAAATAGTTTTCTTGGTTATTTTCTTCTAACCAACTTCCAAAGAAATCTATATACTTTATCATTAGAATAATCACAAAAAAACAAGAAAACATCAGTATTATTAATACTCCTACACAGAGTGACACAAAGAAACACTACATTGTTAAAACACAAGCTCTTGAATTCCTGTTTAGTGCCTCATGAAAAATCATCTACTAAAATTCTTTCTGAACGATGGCAATTAACACATTCTGAACAATGATTTCTTGAAAAAGGACATTTATTTTATTAAGTAAATTTGAAGACCAAACAGTACGAATCTCCTATTGTTGGATATTTAGGTACTCTTACAATTTCTTGTTTTACCTAAAGATAGTGATTGATAATTTACTCTGAAGTTGTAACTATAAGTAAAAATCATATTTGTGAGAAACAAAATAAAACAAGCAAATCAACCACAGAAAATTTGTGGATACCAAGACAGAATATTCTTCCTATTGCTTCAAAAGCTATACTTAATTTAAGAAGCTTGGAAATTAAAATTTTTCTCATAATTTAATTAATAATTTAGGTTATCTATGCAGATTTGGCATTTTCCTAGGAAAATCTCTTCTCAGAAATTTAAATTCAGCAAAATTTTGTTTGCATGCTTTTTAAAAACAGGATGCATTTCAAAATTAAAATCCAGATTACATTTGGAATATAGGGAATTGTTCCTAAAAACTGTTTCACAAATAAAAACACTTGCTACCTCCTCGCACATGCATCTTTGAAAAAAATAACTAAAGAAATATTTATTAAGCACTTACTCTGTGCTAAGCATTGAATTAGGAGGTGGCTAAGTGGTGACTAACTGGGCACCCATGATCTTTGTTCTGATGGAGTACAGAAGTATATGTTGGCAAAAAAAAAAAAACCAAACAAAACAAAAAAAAAACTGAGAATAATCCAAATGAGCTTGATGCACAATTCTAATTAAAATGAATTGTAATTTTTGTCAGGTAATTTACAATAACTTAGCTTAACCTGATGTCAAAAAATATGTATGTAAACACAGCATTGCTCCTTCTCTCATGCTATTACCATGTTCTGAGACATCTAAATGTAGATTTGTATGAATAAACTAAAATGAGCAATTTTAGTTAACAATTTTTCACAATACTGAAAGAATGGCTTGCAGAATATTACAGTATCTGCAATAATCTGATAAATTGACAGAGATGGGAGTTAAAAAAACAAAAAAAAAAAATCAACCCCCGACAGGAGAGCCCTCAATTGGGGAAATCATTCTGAAGTTTCCTTGAACCTATCTAGCAGAAAGCAGAATGCTGGCCGGACACCTGACCCTGCAGCTCCCTAACGGTGCGCGCCTGGTCTGCACATTTCCCCTTGCAGTGCTGCAGATTCTCCTGACACTCGTGAAGCCTCTGTTCCGCCGCCGTCAACGAGTCGCGGACGTGCTCTAACTCCTGCAGATGAGACTCCATCTGGCCTCTCATCTGAGTTGTAGCATTAAGGAAACAAGTGCAAGGTCACACATTCAGCATTAATGTCTTTACTATCTTAAACACTAGATATGCTCATAATAGAATAAGTATTTTAGGCATAATGGTTTTAAACAAAAAGATTCAACCAAATAAATATGAATAAACAGTAAGTTAGACTCGGCTAACGAGAACCCGTACCTCAAAAGTAGGCTGTACTCTGGTTTTCAAAAAGTTTGTTGAGTAACTAATATAACACTGGATGTTACTTACATTAGAATTCAAAGTTTTTAAATAGTCTTAAAAAGAAGTCTGTTGACTCAACGCATACAGTTATATTAGCCTACACGGAGAATGTTTGACCTACTTAGGAAAGCAAACTTTTTGATTCCTGTCATTTATCTTCAAGCACAGTCATAACTAGTAATGCTGGTATGGTCATTTGCTACCATCCAGCAGTTAGGCTAAAGTAACTGTCACTTTGTCATTCAATCTTGTAACTCAGATATTTCAATTAAAACAGCCTTGCTGCACTCATCTTAGTCCAGCTGGTGGGATTATGGTGTATTATGTCAAGATAGCTCATATCATCAGTCTTCAGCAGACTGTCATTTCACCATTAAAATTATTCTGAGCAAGTCTGTAAATTTACCTACATTCACCCCTTTGGCCATTGCAGCACCTCACCGTGGCACTTTTGTGGAGATGTGACAAGAAGCACCTCTAAGAAATGCTTACATGGTTAATTAAAAAAACAAAACAAAACAAAACAAAAAACCAGACATATGGCATGTAGGATGTTTACAGGAAGAAAAACACAAGAGCCAAGAGTCTTCCCCTGAGACAGGGAACACCTAGAGCTACCGAGCACATCTGGCATTCTTGATCACAAAAGATAGAATGAGAACAAAGCTTACCTCTGGGTCCCCAAATATCTAAGAGCCCATGAGGAAACCAGTGGAAAATGAAAAGGAAAAATTTCATCTTAAAAAATGACTTTTCTGGTTTAATACCAGTTAGAAGACATTGTGACTCACGGCATCTGAAAATCACAGGCTTCTGCCCCATCAGCCTCCTGAATAGGCTGATGTAAATAAGGTGTTTTATTTACAGTGCTGCCTAGCAAAAGAGGACAGCTTTGCGGTGCCATGTCTCATGAGAGAGAGAGAGAGAGAGACCAGGACACATAAAATGCTAGACATGCTGCTAAAAATAGGTAAAAAGTAATTCTAAGAAAGTAGTAACTTGAATGTTTGGTGGGCTATCTTTATCTCTGTTTAACCAGCAGAATGCCTGCTCTGGCTGACCTCTTCTTCACATTGCGCCTCACTCAGACTTCTCAATCCCAAGATGTGGGGGCAACCCAGAGACAGTCACCTTATTACACTCAGTTGGAAGTGACTGCTAACATCCCGTGACCTCTCCAGCTGGGAGTCAGTGCCCTATGTCTTTCACTACTTCCTTACCAAAACAACATGAGAAGACCCAAAGAGGGATGCGGTTTCATTTAAAAAGTTAAAAATATTCACAAAAACATAATAACTTGCCAACACTGGCCTTCCCCTCATTCTGTTGCAATGGGGTGATAAAAGGGAAATGATGCTGCTTTTTTAAATACGATTTTTCTTCCAAAAAGCATTTAACAGCGAATATTTACTTTACTTTTTAGACACAAAAGATTTAGTACCAAAAACAAAAAGGTGGGATTAAAAATGAGAGATACTCAAGTTTGCATACTTATGGCTGATGAAGCCAGTGATAAGCGATAACCATTTTTTTGAGATATATGAATCTGCTCTTAGAAAAATTAAACATTCATGCTATTTTCCAAATACTAAGGAAAAAGTAGAAAAACATTCACACAAACAAACATTTCAAGCCTGGAGGAAACATTATCTCCATAGAAAACAAACTCCTACAGAGATTAAAGACAGGTAATTTCTAGGTCAAAACTACAGAAAATGACCATAATGAAAGAATACGTATAATATTCATAAAGTACAAAATATATAAATATTATTTTATTTCTTAAAACATCAAACTCACCTTCTCTAATTTTTTATTTTTGTTTTTTGTAATTAGGTTATTTTCATGTAGCAAATTTTCACATCTGGTTTTCACGATTTCTGCTGCCTCTTGTAATTTTTGTATCTGAAAATAAAATGTATTAGGACAACATATTTAATTAAGACCATAATATAAATTAAAAAACTAAACATCTGAATTTTTAAACAAATCATTATTTCCTTATCAACACCCTCAGTATCTTTATCTAATGTTATTCCTACTTTAATATAAGAATTGCTCAATGTTCTACTCCAATCTACAACCCTTTTATAATTTACCTGTCTTTTCCCAACCATATTTCTAGACTCTCCCCTTAAGCCTGAATATTAAAGATCTTTATTTGCAAGTCAAGGTCACTTTAAAGAATAATTTTTAAAAAGAAATCTGAAGACTAAGGAGTAACTGAAATATGCTGACATGTATGTCCACATGCAGATTTAGGAAAAGTCAGAATTATTACAACAACAACAAATATATATATATATTTATATATATATATAAATATATATATATATATAAAATATATATATATAAAAATATATATATATATATATAAACTGGCTCCCAAACCAATTACTTTACACTTAAACAATGATTAAAAAAAAAAATTCTGAGGCCTTTATACAAAGCCCAGAGCCCAGAACATGCACATTATTCTTGCTGACGGATTAAACCCAAACACCCAGCTGGAGGACCCAGCTGGCATTCTCAGTAACAGGCTCACAGTTCACCATACCTCCATCCTACCTCTGGTAAGCTCTACATGACTGCAGGATTCTAACTGGATGTTTTGACTCCATCCTCCCATCTAAACCATCCAGATGAACTTCCTACTGATCTACAGGATGCCCTCCCCTTAAGCTTTTACCTTTAGTTATTTATTCTTTAATTCAAATGCTCTCTCTTCCAGCAAAACCCAGCTCATTATTGATCAGTTTGGTACCATCATTAAGGGCCTGCATAAGTCCCATCTTTCTCATAAAGTTTTTCTTGAATACTACATTTTCAAAATATAAGGTTTTCTATAAACTGCCACTGAACATAGCTCTATTCCACATATATTTTCACAATTCTTATCCAAGTCTTTCATGTGAGTAAATCAGAATTTTATTTTATTTATTGGGAAAGAGGGAGTACTGAGTTTTAATGACCCTAAAAGGGAGTCAATATTCTAAATCAATGCCATTAAATATCTAAAATAACACTATAATTAAGTTTAACAAGGTTATACATAAGATTTACATTACACCTACATAATTAACTTTATATCTACTTTTTGGAATAGCCAGTACATACACAGTCAAGGCCTGAATCAAGAATCAGCAGAATCATCTACTATAAAAATATGTAGGACCTTAAGAAATATGGGACATATGTTCTATCATAAAATAATAGCTCTACCTTTCTTCAATTCTGCTTCTTTAGATTATAAAAAAGTACTGTGTTTTAAATTGCCTACAAAATTTAACAACAAAATCAGTGCAATAATTACCTGAGTTTTATATACTTCAATAAGGGTTTTCTGTTGTTTTTCTACTTCTTGCAATTCTAAAAGTTCATTTTCAACAGAAATCACCTCATCCTTCAAAGCCTCAAGTGTAGTCTAGCAAGGAAAAAATAAACAGATTTTATAAATCATTAAAATTCACCTAGCTTCCAGTGCTAGGATTATAAAAACATAACTCATTTATCAAAAGGTTAATAATCATTTTTATTGCATAGAATTACCACTTAAATGTAAGAATTTTCAAGTCAATAATACTCATGAATAACTATAATAAGACTTATGTAAGACATATATTTTTAAAATTTCCAAAACTTTTAAAAGACCATGTTCTTAGATGAGAAGACTCATACTATTTGACATATCAGTTTTTTCCAAATGGATAACATTTTAAATGTAATTTCAACCAGAAGTATAATAGTTGGGAGGAGGGGGAATATGACAAAATTAATTTTAAAACTCATATGGAAAAATAAATGGGAAATACTAATATAATACTGAAAGGAATATCAAGGTAGAGAATCTCAGTACTTATTAGATAAAGATGTATGAAGAACTAAAAATTTTAAGATACCAACATAAGAATATAGAGGTCAATGGAACAGAAACAGAAAAATACACTAAACTTATATTTAGTGTATGCTAAAGATTGAATTTTTAAATCAATGAGGAAAATATGGATCACTAAATAATGGTAACAAGACACCTGTTTAACTATTAGAAAGAAAATAGATGAACTACTTGCCTCCACTTGACATTATTTTTTATATTTATTTGAATTTTAAAAATAAAGTTTTAACATTTTTCACAGAAGATACAGCTAAAATTTTGATTTTAGGATAGCAAAACTCCTACTAAGTGGAAAATCAAAAGATGATGTCAAGTACTGTAAGGGTTTGGGATATTACCCTCCAAGCTGACAAGTGAGCCTGGAACAGTTTCACGCATGTTAGCAGAAGATATGAGACCCCTGGGTCAGAGACACAAAACTTGATTACAGCAAGAGCAGTAGCCAGATGTCAGATTTGCATTCATCTCCCAAGCCCTGAGTCCCCCAGGGTGACACAATGAGGGCAAGATAACACCTGCACATGCAGTGGGAGGCACTAGCAGAGGAGCAACCCTGAGTTCAGGGAACCCAGATCTCTCATATCAAGCAGTAAGCATGTCTACCCTCTGGTAAGAAAACATGGGTGTATTCCAAGGATGCTCACTATACATCCTTGAAAAGACAGGTCTGGATTGCAGGCAGTCAGTGCTTCTACTTCTAAGATGTGCAGAAATGTGACAGACTTAACAGAAGCTGTTAAAGAAAAAAAGTATCCATACATATGTGTAAATATATCTCTCCAAATTTTACTGCCCTCTCAAAAAATTCAAGAGGCAAACAAAATGTAAAAGAGAGTAACAAATTATGACAAAACATTAATACCCTTAATACAGGGTTCTTATATATATTTTAAAAAAGACATACAAAGAATAATGAATAGGTAATTCATAAAGGCAGAAATGTACATGATCAATAAATACATGAAAAATATGTTTACTAGTTATTAAAAAATGCTCTAGACACTGGATATTCTTCTATTAATGAACAAAAGAATGAAAAAAATCCCTTCCTTCATGGGGCTTATGTACTTCACATACAGATAGACAAAAAGGGAATAGATGAACAAAAACCAAGAATATGAAGTAAAATATACCATACACAAAAGCAGAATAGGAATGACATGTTGTGGATGGGCCAGGGAAGCGTCCGGAGAAAGGGACTTTAGAGCAAACACTGAAAGGATGTGTGGCCCTTTGAGGGAAGAGAATTCCCACAGAGAAAGGCAACTGTGGGACAAGCCCTGGCCAGTTAGGGGGAAAGAACAAGGCCGGTGAGCCAGGAAGGGAGAAAACAATGGGGAGAATGGAAGGAGATGAGGTGAGAGAAGTACTGGAAAGCCAGATGGAATAATGTTTTGTAGGTGTTTATTATCCAGATATCACTGGAGGGCTTGGGGTGGAATAGTGACATGGTCTGACTTTCATTTTTATGGGAACTACGCTATGGTGAACTGAAAGCTGACTATAGCGGCAAGGGCGGATGCAAAGGGGGCTCAGGAAGTCACCGTAACTATGAGAGATGATGGTGACTTCAACCAGGACAACAGCAGTGGTGCTGGGGAGAGGTGGTCAAATCCTCATCTATGTGAAGTAGATCTGCTGACAGACTGGAAGCAGGTGGGAGAGAAAGGAGTCAGGGATAAAACCAGGTCAAAGGACAGATAATATTGCCATTAACAGAGATGAGGCTAACTGCAGGATGAACCATTTGGGGGAATAAAGGAGCTCTATTTTAAACATGCTAACTTTGAGACACCTATTAAATATCCGAGTGGAGGTTTCAAGTAGGCTGTAGAAGATATGTCTGGAATTCAGGGGCAAAGTCTAGGCAAGAGATATAAATTGGAGAGCCCCAGGATATAGATGGTACTTAAAGGCCCAACACTAGATGAGATCACCTATCAAATTTGGAGAGATTAGTTTTAAAATTGTTTTGCATTGGAAAAAATATAGGGACCCATATGATGGGTAATTTGGAAATACTTAACACTAAAAATGAGCCTCCCTTTTGACCATATAATTACAATCCTAGAAATTTATCCTAAGAAAACAGGCAAAAAACTCAAAGAAACTACCCACATTTTTATTTATAGTAGCAAAAAAAAACTGGAACTAGTTCAAAATCCTCAAGACTATATGGTAAAATGGTAACTTTAGTTTCTTTGAGTTGTGAGATTACAGTGATTTTTAAAATTTTCCCTTTACTCTTTTCTGTTTGTTTTTTTTTTTAACTCTTTATAATGAACAAATAGAACTTATAACCATGCAAATAACCTCTTGCAATTTCAAGAGTAGAGGTCACTGGGTCTTGGAAGGAATATCAGCTAGATCCTTTTTTCATTTGAAATATTAAAATCTAAAATTATTCTGAAGTCATTAAAAGTAACAAAATACAATATCTAGGCAATTTTACATTGCAGAAACATATGCCAGATGCACCTAGGTTTTTTCCTTAAACAAAAATCAAAAGAATAATGCATTAAAAATACATGTTTCTGAATTATTAATAGAAAATAAGATGTAAACTTTAACTTGATGATTCTTATCCCTATGCAATTTAAAATTAATTCCACTTACCATTTGACTAAAAATTAGATTTATAATTGATGAAATATTATTCTAATCCTTTCTCTCTGAAGATTATCAAGGAAATTAAGAAAATAAACATAACAAAATCGCTTCCTCTTCCAAGATAAACATTTTAAGCATTCATTCAATAAATATTCATGGAGAGCTAAGTGTATGTGACACCTTTCCTGGGCATTCTGGGCATACAAAGATGGGAGTTTATAAGGAGAGACTCATCCTAATTGAAAAGACTGGGGAGAAGAAGCACTTGAGCTGAACTAAGGCAAGTCTTAGGTACTAGGAAAAATGATTCCAAATTGTAAATATAATAAAACTATAGGAAGAGATATAGGAAAATGTGAATAAACTGCAGGAAATAATGAGTATTCATATTTGGCTAGAACCCAGGATAACTAGAAGACTACACTCCCTAGTCTTCCTTATACCTAGTTGGGGCCATGTGCCTGAATAAGAAGAGTAGAGAGGTATGGAACTTACAGGAAGTCTCCCTAAGAGGAGATTAAAAAAAAGGGCGGGGTGAGTAATAACTCGTCTTTTTCCCCTTGCAATCCTACTGCTTGAAATTTGGCTATAATGGCTGGAGCTCCAGGAATCATTTTGGATTATGAGGGTCATAACCTAGGAATGGCAGAAGAGAGAGCTAAAAAGAGGGTTGATTCTCTGATGTGATATCTGCTTTGAACTGCCAACTCTGGCCTTTTTACAGATTCTCTTCTGTGTTCTATTTACTGTCCTCCAAAAATAGTATTAAAGAACTGAAAATGATGCAACATCTTTTTTTTTTTTTTTAAGATTTTATTTATTTGAGAGAGAAATAGAGAGGGAGAGTATAGAGGGAGAGCGAGAAGGAGAAGCAGACTCCCCTGATGAGCAAGGAGACTGATATGAGGCACCATCCCAGGACCCTGAGCTGAAGGCAGATGCCTAACGGACTGAGCCACCCAGGCACCCCATGCAGTAATCTTTAATCAAGTCTCATCTGGTAACTTGTATCTCTAACTGAGAACTCAATTTTTTTTTCTCAGAAAGTATAAAAACTTCTTCCCCATTTTTTTCTCTGGTACACATACAAACCAATCACCCCTTGGATTTGATTAAGTTGGAAAATTCTTTCTTGTTATGAAGCAGCCAGGAACATACTTTCTGGTTTCAAACAGAACAGGCCTGAGGTTACATCCTATCGTAACCATGACACGTAGAAAAAAAAATCTTATGCATTAAAGTTAATGTAATTTTGAATGACTCAACAGCTAAAAAGAACAAATAAATTTTTTAGAGGTCGAGACAGTTATTCAAGCTATAAATCTTATTATTTAATATTGCTAAAAACAACTTTAATGTATATCTCTGTGTACAACTATAAACATTTAAAGATCTATATATAAATATGTGTGTATATGTAGATATATAAATATGGATATATATGTAGCTTTAGAAATTGCATATTATAATGATCCTCTAATACCCTCACAAACACAAAAAACAAAGACACAAAAGTACTATTCTAATCATGCTACCATTCCAGCTACTTCTACTAAGCTATCATTAGACAATATACACATACAGACACGAACACATATTACCTTATTATAAAAAATGATTTTATTTTTAAGTAATCTCTACACCTAATTGTGGAGCTCAAACTCAGAGCCCTGAGGTCAAGAGCTGCATGTTCCAATAACTGACCCAGCCATCGCCCCAGAACACACATTACCTTTAATTTTGTATTCTCAAGATTCAGAGTTTCATTTTCATATTCAATTGAGTGAAGTTTTCTAAGAATTTCTTCACATGAATTTTTTCCAAGGTCTTCCACTTTCTTCAGGTCTTCCAAAAGATTTGTAACTTGTCTTTATGAGATAAATGATATATTTTATATAAAAGTCATAGAAATTTTCATTCAAATAGTGCATTTTAAGTATGTTTCTGAAATTATGTTGGTAGGATGTGCAGTTTTAAAGTACAAGTCACAGAAAAAGGTAAACAGGAAGCAGTTATCAGGCTACTAACTGCATAACCTTGAGTAGCAATAATTACCCACTGATGATGCCAGTGAAAAATTACACAACATTCTCTTTGCTATTCAGTAAAATGTTTGAACTATTATCCTCAGTGGCCATCTGTCTCTCATTCACACACATGCACATACATCTACACAATCTTAGGGCCATGGTTATATAAAAGGATCAAGTGAGGCAATAACTCACCTTTAGAAGCCAATGATACATGCTAGTTTACAATGATAAAACTGAAGAGAATATACAGAAAACAAAACATTTAAAAATAAATGTGCAGGGTTCATTACTGTTAGTTTATCAGTAATAAATTTCAAAGCATAAAAGATAGAAGGAGGTTTACTCATTGTATTTCTTTGTTATGTTTAAGGAAAAATAAATTTTAGGATTTTGAAAGCATTTGTGCTTTTATTTTAAGCTGTTATATATTTTTACTTACATATTCTTATTTGGTAGAGAACTATCATTTCCATTTTAAGATAAACTAGTGTTAACATTTAACTGCAAATAATAGATGACACATACCCAATTCCAAATACCAACCTACAAAGTTCAAAATGTGAACACCAATGCACTTTTTAGTGGGTAATCATTTTATCGTATTTTTAGAATAGAATAAGGAAAGTTTTTAACATTATAAATAGCAAAAATATCAAATCATATGGACAAACTTCACCATATGTAACCCAGAAGAATCAAAATGCAAACTGCTTAAAGAGGAAGGAACTGAAAACACTCTTTATTAAACCATAAAAAGATTCTTAATTTTTTTCTTACTTTTGCATTGTTTCAATCTGAACTTCCAATTCAGTTTTTTCGATTACAATTTTCTCATAATGACTTTTCCAGGCATTGGAAGCTGAAATTGTTTCAGACAGCTTGGCTTCCTAAAAAATACATCAAGTACTCATCCTGTAACTGAGTAACACTTTGGTTTTGTGCAGGGCTCTAAACACAAATACGACATAAACATATCCTATAAAGGATGGAGTTTTTTATATGGAAAATTTTAGTGTACAACTCTGAATATAGGAATCTTTTAAAGTAAATGTTGATAATATCTTTATATTAGTATTGTTTTATATGCACATAGTGGCAGTTCTAACACAACATGTTAAGGATGTTGATATAACTATTTTCAAACAATGTTTCATTACTAATGAAGATTACTTCCTTCCTATTTCTTGAACTTTTCATTCCGCATTCTATACATAGAAGATGCTAACAACCACATAAGCATCAGAGGAGAAAGAAGTCCTCTACTGATACATATAGAAGCTCTCTGCAATTCCACAATTCCACAGCATTTAATAATGCAGCCTTATTTATTGTTGCTATAATGATGTCAAGCAGTTTTGTAGAGGTCACCCCCATTGGTCCCCAAACACTGTTATTGTTAACAAAGAAAGGAAAACTGTAGTAGTGGCTTAACCACTTTGAATGGGAGCTCCCCGAGGAAGAGACTTCTGTCTGTTTTGTTCATTGCTAGGGCCTTGAATAGTGCCTGGCATACAGAAGACATTCAATAAGTAACTGTCAAATGAATCTACTCTTTACGAACCCACCTAGTGAGCTATAGTCATTGTGTCCCCTAACATTCTACAGAATGACAAACTCACTGGGAAGACAATACCAATAATTATTAATCAGAAGACCCAGAAGTAATAATATGATAGCAGTTAGTATTTACTAGGGGCTTCTTCCTTTCCTTCCATCATTCATCCAGTCATAGAAAAAGCATTTATTGAGCATACACTATATGCAAGAATTTTTTGGTTTATACCTTTTTACAAAAATATTGTTGATATGTTGAATAAAGCCTAGTATTCTGTTTTCATATTTTATGTAAAATGAATTTAAATTTGCACAATGAAGTATATAAGTTGGTGTGTGTGTGTGTGTGTGTGTGTGTGTGTGTGTGTATAGTGTAGGTTAGGTAATATACTATAATATAAAGATATTTAGAAATTTTAACTATAAAAATAAATGCTGTGAAGAGAATTCAAGATATGACATGACTGTTGAGGGACTGCTTCAAAAGGAGTGGTCAAGAAAGGCCCCTCTGAAGAGATGTTGATTAAAAAGATACCTGAGTGATTAAAAAAGAACGAGCTATTGTGAACCCGAGGAGAGCATTACAGCCAGACGTAATAGCAAACATTAAAACTCTACAGATTAGAGGAATAGAAAGGAGGTCAATATGGCAAAAATGTAGGATGGCCAGGGACTGTGCTTTAACATACTTTTTCTCATTTATTCCTCCCTATAATCATAAGATAGGAATATTACTATCTCCTATTTTATAGATGAGGAAAAGGAGTCTTGGAGAGGTTAAGTACCTCACCCAAAGTCACAAGATGAACAAGCAGAAGAGCCTTCATATACCATGATCTGGGGTATGTGTCACACGATGCTATTTAAACAGGAAAATCCTGAGAATGTTAATGACTTGATTAACCACTCAAGAATATTTTCAGGTATTCAACTCAGTCTAATGACCTTCTAGATTATGAACTTAGTCCTCAATTCTTTGTCCAGTTAAATTCTTCTGAATGTCGTTCATCTTTAAGTGTTAACACTTTGAGCTTATAAAATATTAAGTTGTTTTGTTTACACAAAAGTTTATGCAAGCCCACTTTCATTTCTAAAAGCCTCTAATAATTCTGCAAGCCTTAACATCAGTTCTTAAGAGGTGGACTACCCATGAGACATTAAAAAGAGTAAATATTTTATTAACTGCTAATTGAATAAATATAATAATTCATCACAAACAACAAAGCACTAAGTCCAGTTTTCAACTTTGTACTACACCCAAAGATAACTTTCACATGGTGTGTTTACGTCAGTGAATGGCTTTAAGTACATTACAGAGTTCAAATGAAGTGAATTACTGAATACAGTCATATGGTCTAATAACATAAATCAGCAGTTCCCAAACTGGTGTTCCTTAGAACCAGTTCCAAGAGCTGTTTTGTGGGTAAAACAAGAGTTCTGTGGTTAAATAAGTGGCGAGAAACTCTGAGTTCAAAACTCTTCATTACGCTGTTTTACTTTGCCTACTCAGGGTCTTTCATTTGCTAATGTACACTGTCCATTTCCAAGGGGGAATTTGTATGTACCCTTAACTTGCCGGAGATGCTTGGGGCACTTTTTTTTTTTTTTTTAAGATTTTATTTATTTATTTGACAGACAGAGATCACAAGTAGGCAGAGAGGCAGGCAGAGAGAGAGAGAGGGGAAAGCAGGCTCCTGATTAGCAGAGAGCCCGATGCGGGGCTTGATCCAGGACCCTGAGATCATGACCTGAGCCAAAGGCAGAGACTTAACCCACTGAGCAGCCAAGGCGCCCCGCTTTGGGACACTTTTAATATATCCTTTAATAAAGTTCCCAAGGAAATACTGATGTAATTCAATATGCAAATGTGACATTTTCTGGAACCTTTCAAAATAAAGACTAAAGCAAAGGAGTGTGAATAAAGTCTTCCTAGTATCAGTAACATTAAGAGAAGATTATTATATTAAGCATTAGGATGTTAACTACACAAACTAAGTACATAGAATGGTTAAGGAAGAATGTATATACTTACCTGATCTCTAATTTGGGAGGTAAGGTTTTCCATGTCTCCAGTGAAGTGCTTAAGCCTTTGTCTGTAAATTTTAGATGCCTTTTTCAGAGCTATAGTTTTTTGCTTACTTGATTCTTTCATTGCTACAGCTTCATGCTTATTCTTTCTCATTTGTAAGTTCCATTCAGTTATCTTGGTTTCCAAGCTCTAAAAAAATATTAGTAGTACTTAAATTATTTTAGAACTCCAATGTTTATGTCAACATTGTAAAAATATGTAAATAATCTTCCACAGCTTTTATCAAAAGAATTAATCATAGGATTAATAAAAAGCAAAACAGTAAAAGAAGTTGGTTTCACCAAAGTTTATTTGTAACATTATAGAATTACTATACAAACATTTTTTAAACTTTTTTTAAACTCTTTTTAAACTTTAACTTTCTTTAAATTTTTGTAATTAACTAGAACTTGTTAAAATTTCACATCTAGAATATTATACATGGTACTAGTTAAGAAAATCAAAGAACTGTAATTGAGCTGGAGATAATTCAAAATAAAATACACAGAAGTCAAAGGAATCAGGAGCTCCCTACATATGTTAGGACTCTTAGTTGCAGTGATAAAGGCTTAAAGGACATATGATCAGAATCTACAGATCACAAACGATATAGATGAGATAGGCTTATTTTGCAAATGTTAATTTACTGGAATTAAGGGGCATGTCTTGATTCTTAAAAGATACATCAAGGGCAATAAACATACTGCTTTACCCAATAAGTAGTAACTTTATGGAAGTTACTATTCCAAGACTGAACAGGCTTAGATGAATAACTATCAGAACCATAACAGTAAGGGTGAAAAGATGTTCGAGGGCCGTGTTTCTATCCATTGAATTTGATGGTGTTATTTGGCATGACTGTTTCCTTACATAACTAGAGACAGAATAGGCCGGGCAGATGATGGATATGATTTAGTGTGGTAACTCTCATGCTTTTATTTCTAATTATTTTTAAGACTCTGTATTTAAAGTATTTGACTACTAAATAGCTAAGAATTTAGAGACCTAAGATTTTAACACTTCACTTTTTTTTGTAAAAGTTGTATAATACTGAAAAAATTATTACAGAATTAAGGTTTTAGTTTAAAATTTCTGGACAATCATTTTAATGAAAAAAAATCAAAGGAGTCACAGTAAAAGACTCAGTTTTCTATTTAATTCCATGATCAATAAAAACTATGTTCTTTTTTTTAAAAGATTTTATTTATTCATTTGAGAGAGAGTAAGAGAGCACAAGCAGGGGGAAAGGCAGAGGGTGAGGGAGAAGCAGGTTCCCTGCTGGATTGGGAGCCCAACATGGGGCTCATCCCAAGACCTGGAGATCATGACCTGAACTGAAGGCAGATGCTTAACCATCTGAACCCAAGTGCCCGAAAAAACTATGCTTCTTAACTTCCACTAAAATTTAGATGAAGAAATACATATTAAATAAGATTTAAAGACAAGCCCTCTCTGAAAAGTGAACTTAGCAGATTAAGACAAGCAGCAAAATACTGTTACACAGTCTTTTGAAATCTACTTAAACTAAAAAATGCCATAAAATGTTTTAATAAGTAGTTGGGGGGAAACAAGAAACAGTAAGAGCCCTGTAAGTCTACTTAAAAGAACAGACTCCACAAGAAATATAGCTGCCATTCCTCCAGGAAACCACGGGGTGTCACCAGCACACCATGAATAACTGCTACACTTCACTACACCATTTTAAACACCAAGGTGAAATAAATCTTTTAGAACAAGATAGTCAGGACTTCCTCACTAGATTTATCCTATCTCACATTTGAGCACTATTAGGGAGTATACAAAACTATCAAATTATTTTTGTGGTTTCAAAATAAATAACTCTTCGCAGTCTTGCCAAATGAATGGACATATATTTTAAAGTCAACTATTTGCCTTTCCCTATTTCCAAGGAACTCTACATGCTGCATATTATAAAGATAATTATTCTGTGTCTTCTAAATTGTGAATATATTCTATTCCTAACTGCTATATTATAAAGATCTAGAAAGAAAAATGGGTTAAAGTATCTTTAGGATACTTCTCCGAGAACTAAAACATAAATTTTGTAAAGACCTATTACAACGAATTGACTCAACTGAGTCAAAACTATTAAGTGAGATTTATGTCGTCAAACTGAATTCATTATCTTTGTACTCCAAAAAGAACCCTAAATCGAAGGTTTAGGGTGAAACCTAAATCGAAGAACTAAATTCTGACCCCGCCCCATAACTTAATGCCTTAAATTTCAAAACTGCATGTTAGAGGGAAGGTAAAAAAAATCAGTAACCTAATGCAACTTCTTGTAATTATTTTTAAATAGTAGGGGTTTTGTACAGGAATTTAAACTCATAGTTTTAGGAGAATGTGATGGCAAAATCTTAACATTTTAGTCTTATATTCTCTAAATTATCCTATGAAAATTGTTAAAATTAACTTTAAAAAATCACTTAGTATTTCATTTTTAAATTGAAGAAAATGTTTTCAAAATTTTCCCAACTGCTTTTTGAGGATATAATTAAAACCTGTATAAGATAAATTGTGACAGGGGCACCTGGGTGGCTCAGTAGGTTAAAGCCTCTGCCTTCAGCTCAGGTCATGGTCCCAGGGTCCTGGGATAGAGCCCCCGCATAGCTGCTCAGCAGGGAGCCTGCTTCCTCCTCTCTCTCTGCCAGCCTCTCTGCCTGCTTATGATCGCTCTCTCTGTCAAATAAATAAATAGAATCTTTAAAAAAAAAAAAAAAAGATAAATTGTGACAGATGATTATCTCAGGTGTCAATTCACATGTTCATCTCTAATGCCCTATGACACCCATGCAAAGGATACAAGGAATCCTGGGGGGAAGTGCTTAAAAGCACATGTAGGAGGACAAAGGACAAAATTTAAATTTTGCATAAGTCTGCTTAATGTCCCCTTACTGGGCAAAAGCTTTTTACCCTTGAAGGAAAAAAAAAAAAAGCCAAAACACCCCAAGTGCAGTCTTGAAACATGCCACAGTTTGCAAACATCTGCCATGGTTCAGGAGTGCAAAAGCAACCAGAAATTTAACACCGATGTCCTCACACTCAGTGTGTGTTATCACTGTACACTTCTCTTCTCCAAGCGAGAACACTGCTTCTTTTCTTTTGGCAAAAATAATGACAATAGATCCAGTTAGCTTGTGTCATGTCAAAGCGACCTCAAGTTATTTCAAAGTGCCTGTGAGGCTTCCAGAAGAACACTAAAACCACTGAGTTTAAGCCAAAATATTCCCCTTAATGACACTGCTAAAAAAAACTGCACAAGAATGTTACTCAATTTTCTAAACATCAAAGCTAAGTAACTAATTTTAAAGTTTTAACCATTAGTGACAAACATAAAAATAATAAACATTTACTGACTGACTACTAAATGTATGTATTTATGTGTAGATGTAGAAAATAGACAGGAATACTATATCCCAAAATATTAATAATGGTTTTGGTGTTTTTACATTATCTTAAATTTTTCCTTTGTATTTTACAAATTTTCCACAATAAACATAAATTAACTGTATAATGGGAGAGATTTTTAAAGTAATTCAAGCTCTATAAATTCCTCCTAGACTGGTATTAAAGAGAGAGAGCATTTCCATCTTGGGATTTAGAATCAAATCTTTAGAAGGGCCAGAAATCTTAAGATCTGCCTCAAATATGTATTTCTCATGGCAACACTTAAATTGAATTCTTCCAAAACCACCAAATTCCAGAATTAAGGAAGGGCTTTATAGTTGTTCATTAATTTTATCACTTAAGCTACAAAAATGACTGAATATTTATAACCTTTATGTGTTCTTTTAATTTATCATTCTCTGCTTCCTTTTTATTAATTTGGAGCTGTAGTCGTTCATGTACCACTTTTACTGATTGTGAAAAACGGTTAGCTTTCAAAGCATTTGCCTGTGACAGACAAAACAAAAAAATGTGTTATTTGATATATTTCTCCACAATCTTTAACTTTATCCACATTTAGATATGATCTAAAAAGTTGACAAAAAGTAAAGTACCATTTTACATTAATTATGACCCCATTATAAATTGTATATAAAACTACAGGGCTCTGTCCCCCTCTGCCCTTTTATTTAATGGCTCCAAGAATCTCCTTTTAAAAAGTCCTATCTAGCCTAAGTAAATTATATCTAAAATGTTCCTGAAAACGCTAAACTTCCTTAATTTACACTAAAATTGAAATACAGATTTATTCATAGTTCCTAATATATGGTGATTTATGCCAAATACCCTAACTTAAATACCATAAAAATCTTTAAAAAAGAAATTTCAAAAAAACGTGTAAAATATCCAAATAATATAAAAATGCTTCTGTGCTTATTTCTGAGGATATGGGGACCAGGATGGAAAGAAGGAAAAGAAGGAGTGAATATTAAGAAAATATAATGAATTAAGCTCAAAATTTGCTTACCTTTTCATTCTGAAACAAACAAGAAAGTTCTTGGATATAGGTCTCCTTTTCAAGTACCTTCTTCTTAAGAGTCTTCGGCAAATATAATGTAAGAGTTAGAAGAAATACCACAATTGGGATAACGTGGGCTAATTTTATAAAACCAAGCAGCATATAAGTAAAAAATGTCAGAATAGACACGAAGTATAAAAAGACTTACAGTATTTTCACTTTCATTATCAGTTAGTTTCTCTAACATGCTGGATAAACTGTCCCCTACCTATGAAAAAAAGATATTATAAATCAGTATCAACAAACATATTTCTCTACATATAAAAGTAGAAAGAGTAATAAGCATCTTTTAAGAAATTAATATGGACAACTATTACGCACTGTTCAGATTTTTAAAAAGGTCATCATATGGATTTCTGCCTAAGTGTTCCAAATCATCTTTTGCCCATGGTTTATGAAATTATATACTAATTTCTAAATAACACCTCAGAGAGTACAACAATGACACAAAACCCACAAAAATCTTGTATGCAAAGGAAGCTCACTGGGCTGCTTATAAATAGTAAAAAATACAAACAAACTTAATTCTGGCAACCAAGAATTTTTTTTTTTAAAAGAATCACAGTACATTAGTAAAGGAATTCTATATAGATATTTTAAATGAGAACATAGAAAAATGTTTATTCATTTTGAGGGTCATACTCCTGCTTGAGAATGTGAAAAAGCTATAAATTCCTTTCACCCAAAAGCATTTATGCCATGTACATATAATGCAAAATTGCACACACAATTTCGGAGGGCTCATGGACTGCATGAAGCCTACCCTTGGACTTATGTAGAGGGACACAGTGGAATTGCTTGGCATACATATATTTTCATTTCTCTTGGGTATAAACAACTTATAAATAAATGTTCACAGCAGCTTTATGCATAACAGCCCAAAAGTGGAGCAACCTAAATATCCATCAACTGAGGAATGGACAAGTGAGAAATGGAATAGCCATATAATGAAATATTATTGGTAATAAAGAGGAATGAAGCACTGACGTGTGCTACAACAAGGATGAACCTTGAAGGCACTAAGTTAAATGAAAGGCGGTTATGAAGAACCACATTTTATGTGAATCTATTTACATGAAATATCCAGAATCAGCAAATTCATAAAAACAGAAAGCAGATAATAGGGTAAGGAGGGGTGGGTGGGGTTGGGTGGTAGGCGAACTTCTAAAGGCCATGGGGTTTCTTTTTGTGGTGATGAAAATGCTCTAACATTGACTGTGGTGATTGCTGCACAGTTCTGCAAATACACTAAAAATCACTGAATTGTACACTTTAAATGGGTGAATTGTATGATATGTGAATTATCTCTCAACAAACTGTTAACCACCAAAGATTAATGAATGTATGAATACAACGGTACAAAGGAGCTTAAATTCTAAGAAAATTTTATTGTAACCAGATGGAGATGAACTATAACAAATAATGAAAAATTTTGAGATAGAAAATACAAGTGTTTTTCCTACAAAAACATGCTGCTTTCATGTAGAACTATTTGTGACACATTAAGAGTAAGGGTTAAATGATTTCCATTTCAAACAAAAATTCAAGAATTATTTCCATATCAAATTTACCAATAATTCAATTTCTACAGTTTGAGAAATAGCAAATCCTTCAAGTGAGAAATACATCTATTACATTAGCGCTTAGGAGTCCTTACTTGTTGGTATTCTGTCTTTCTAAGAAGATGTTCCAATGTTTGTTTTACACGTTTAAAAGTGTCTAATTCTTTTGTTAATATTTCCTTCTGTTTAGAGATCTTCTTCAAATTGGATGCAAAAAGATCAGCCTGACAAAATATAAGAACCACATAACTTTTTAAGATACAGCATTAAAAAAATTTTTTAAAGATACATTAAGACACCTAAAATACAGCGTTGCAGTATTTTAAGTATTAAGTATTACAGTATTAAAACACCTAAAATACAATGTTGCTGTAAAGTATCAAAGAATACTTTATTCTAGCCACAAAATCATTTTTGCATATGGTAAGAGTAGATTTTGCCAAGTTTATTAATAGTATATTAAAGTACATCATATATTAAACTAATAAAATCAAAATAAGAGCTTAAGCCCTAAAGTACTTCAGGCATTTATTGTAATGAAGCTAATAGAATACAATTTATTTTTCGTCTCTAACTCAAACTTTAGTACACTGAAATTTTGGAATACAAGTTTCTATTCCATACAACCTATAGAAAATAGATATATTTCATCTTAGAATATTTTAGATTAAATTCACTCTTAAAATAGTTGATTCTCTAGTTGAACTTCAGATAAATCAAGCACCAAGGTATATGCTTTCCAGCTTAGCCTCTTATCAAGTGCATGCCTGAGATTATCTTTGAAGAAAAAAATTGCAGTTAATGACATAGGAGACTGATAAACCTTCAATTTTTTATATCAAAAACCAGTATGTGTCCATAACTATGTTAAGATATAACTGCAATTAATGTGTCCCGAGTATCATGCTTGTTGTACATTTTGTTAGATGTTCACAAGTGAGATACTCACATTTTCAAAACTAATCTCTTCAATGGTATCCTTAAATAATGGCAAAAGTAATTCTACAGAACAGGTTGCCAACTCAGCTTCCTTAAATGTTGCTTCCAGGTCAGTCTTTTCATTTAGGATGTCCTGCTTTAGACTAATTATATATATACAAATAAAATTTAAGTTAAATCTGTCACATCAAGTAGTTATACTTTCATGCAAATATAGCACAGTGTAAGTATCAGTTACACAAACTGCTCTCCAAAATATAACAGTAAGTTGTCACTAAAAATATATCAAATTTTTCCTATACTCCCCTATTTTTCTATACTTAATATACACAGAAAAAGTTTTTTAACATTTAGATATGTAACACACAAAAACCACCAACAGCAATGCTTCACTGTGCTGCTTGTAAGTGTTCAACATCTCTTTTCTGGTTTGTAAAATGATTCGTGGGAATATGTTGATGTCTTTTTTACTTCCCTATCCTCTCCCTTCTCCAGACCCAAAAGATTTGTCTTTCTAGACCTTATTCCCTAATGCTTTCTTGAAACTTTCGTGTCCTTCACAAAAAATTCCTCCAGAAGAATAAGCTAAACAAACAGAACACGAAAAACTAAAACTCTCGAGATCTCAAAAATCCTTCACACTTGGCTTTATAATACATTATCATCATTCAAAACAAACTATTAATATTTGCCTTCTTGATTACCTAGACACTACTGTGTGTCATTGTAAGAGACATCTCTTTGGTCACATTTTTACATCCTGAAATCAAAATGCTTCTTATAATCTTTGTTAGTTAAGAAGCAATTGTAAGTTCTTTCTTGCACATGCCCAGAACTTTAAAGGTGTCCAATACTTTCAAGAATACCTGAGATGGGGTGTAGCACTTTTTAAACCCTAGGAATGGAGGATCATAGAGGGGTTGAAGGCGCTGGTGATGTAGGAATGTTTAGCAACATTTCAGAAGCAAGACTCCAAAATAGGCTTGCTGGATATTATAAGAGCCCCGCACCAGTAAATCTTATTTCAGTTAGAGATGCTCCTAAGAAATGCCACATCACCAATACTCTTAATAGCTAGGACAACTCTGAGTCAAAAAGCGACTCAGAAGAGTCAGATTTTGAGTATAAGAAAATTTTGAGAATACCCTACTTTACTTCATTTATATTTTCTTATATAAGCATAGAGTTATTTGAAGTCAAAATCTATGTATAATTAAGTCTGAAGGAGCTTTTTCAATATTTATAAATAAAATAACAAGTCATAAGAAAGCATCGTATCGGGGTGCCTAGGTGGTTCAGTTCTTAAGCGTCTGTCTTCGGCTCCAGTCATGATCACAGGGTCCTGGGATCGAGCCCCCAGTAGGGCTCCCTGCTCGGCTGGAAGTCTGCTTCGCCCTCTCCCACTCTTCCTGCTTGTGTTCTCTCTCTCTCTCATTGTGTCCCTCTCTGTCAAATAAATAAATAAAATCTTTAAAAAAAAAAAAAAAGCATTGTATCTTTCTTCAATAGGCAGTTTTTTTTCTTTCTTTACAAAACATAATATAATGGCTCGTCAACAACTGATGGGATCTTAGAGGCTATGTCTGAAAGCAGACTGTGTTCTTAATTACTGCTGGCTTAACGTGATGGTTGTAAGATGTTGGTTGTAAATGACAGTTGTCCATTATTAAAAACCATGGGCAGAAGAAAGTCAAGAATGATTATATATGACCAAATATCACTGTCATTTACAAGTTAAATAGAAGCTGGACTACACTATCAACAGTGACAATAATGGGGTTTTAAGACGATCATTTTGCGGGGCACGTGGGTAGCTCAGCTGGTTAAGCATCTGCTGTTGGCTCAGGTCACAATCCCAGGGTCCTGAAATCAAGCCCTGCATCAGGCTCCCTGGGGGAGCAGATGTGCTTGTGTTCTCTCTCTCTCTCTCAAATAAACAAATAAAATCTTAAAAGAAAAAAAAAGACTGTCATCTCAGTGAGCAATGAGTCATATAAATATTCCCTATGTTTTTTAAGATTTTATTTATTTGGGGGGAGGGGTAGATGAAGAGGGAAGGAGAAAATCTCAAGCAGACTCCCAACTGGTGTGGAGTCCAGTGTGGGGCTCAATCCTATGACCCTGACATACGACCTGACTGAAAACAAGAGTTGAACACTCAACTGACTGAACCACTCAGGCACCCCCATGTATTCCCTATTCTAAAGGAGACAGCAAAATATGACAGGTAATTATTATATAGCAATACTCCAAATGACAGTGAATTAGTACTCATCAACTACATTTCCAAAATTCCATAGTATTTCTATTTTCATTTACCTTAGCTATAAGGCTTAATACTTTAATAACTTGCAATAGTTAAGGCTTTCATTTTTATTTGCTTTCATTAAGATTCCAAAAAAACTAGACCAATTCTGCTAAATGAGTACTGATTTGTAATCAGGTTAAATAGGCATAAGAATTGCTAGATTTGAAGAAGTTATTATTGAAAGAAGCCTGTATTTGATTCAAATAATTTATAGTACGGACAAAATATGAAATGCTAAAAACAGAAAATTAGATATCCCCTGCTATAATTGAGAATACCAGCTGCGATGACTTTCACTGGCAGCCTGTGGTAAATGTTCGTCCTCTGGTGTACTTGTAAAATGGGAACATAATTCTTCTGAATGACTTCTATCAATTGCAGGTTTCTCCATAAACTTGGTAAACAGATTTATAGGTGGCTTCCACAACTTTTCCTCATAAGGTGAAAGCTAAGAAATATTTTAGTTATTAAACTTATCATTTCAGTAGGTTCTTTTTTCTATCATTAACCTATAAGATAAAAATCCTAAACATGTATAAAGAATATTTTATAGACAAAACAGAAATTTTAACTGCTACTCATTGTGATACTAATTTAAAAACTATCAAAATTCCATTGCACAACCATTCAACAATTGCCAATTCCACAGTTTCCAAAAGGCTTGTTATTTTCTATATAACCACAAGAATGGAGAAATTTTTATTAATCTATTTCTTGAAGTATTATAATAACTTACTCCAGTCATACTAGAAAATAAATATAAAAACTATGGTTAACTCTGGTCCTCAGTTTCATTATATCTACCCAATAGGAAATGTATGTTATGTATGCCTAGAACAGTAGAAATTTCATACATTTTTCAAAGTATCTGGCAACAATAGCTACAAGAAGATTAAGCTATTCTTTTGAAAGTTTACAAAATTTACAAAATTAAATTGATTTTATTCCTATTTTCCAGCTCAATCTAGGGTATTTTTTGGTGATAATGAATAGGCAGATGACAAATACTTCTAAGTTTTACTAACCGACTGTTTTCACCCAAACTTAGAGATATCATTTTTTTTTTACAGGAATACTCAATGAATTTCTTCAGAACTGTTACATTTTAAGTAATGAATTAGTAGTTCAGCAATCATTAAGACTGTGTTTTCAAAACTCTAATATATTGTGTCTCCCTGACTTATATTTATACATCTTACATTTATACAAAATCAAATGTTATATTTAATATCTTCTGCATTTTTTCAGAGATATTTTACCTCTTTGTAATTTATTTTTATAAACCTGTATTATACATTTGTTCAGGAATTTTCAGTACTTTAGATGTGAAGAAATTAGAGGTTGAAAATTACTTATAGTTCTAAATGACACTTTGAAAGTGTCTGTAAAAAATACATCTATTTTTGTCTAAAGGTTCTATACACTTCAGAAACAAATATTTAGGATACAGACCAATGAGAAGCATGTTAATGTTTTTTAAATACCAGCAACTATGTACAAATGGAACTACCAACTAACCTACAGATACCTAAGATGATCTACTTGAATGTTGCAAATATGAAACATCTGTTAGTAGGACATAACAATATTTTGAGCTATCTGAAGTCTTAAGGAATTAAAGAAGAATTAAAAATAGATGGATACAAAAAATCAAATGTAAAACCAAACCTAAGAATGAAGAAGAATATGATCTAGATAAATCACTGAAATCAACAGTACTATCGTTTGGTTCCAATAGTTACCCCACTCACAGAGGAACTGGTATTTATCTTTCATTCATTCACTTGTTTAAAATTTGTTGCTCTGCACACTGGAATCTAAAGAAAGAATACCTTATTTACGTTTGAATCCTTAGCAGCTACAAGCCTTATCAAAGCCAAGCAGTAATTGAAGGAGAGGACTCAAGGCTTAGAGCAGTTAATGTGATGAATAAAGGCAGCTGCTTTTTACTTATTCACTTCATTGATTTATCTTTTGGGGGAATCATTAAAAGAAAAATGTTTCCTATATTTTGAATAGAAATTCAAAAATAAATGTAAGGGGATTAGGGATCTTCAACTGGTAGTCAGTTTGGTATCGTTATTTTTTAAATGAGTTCTTACTTGGCTCTGGGGGCTACTGGCAACCATTTACACAATTTTTCTAAAAGTTTTATCACAAGATGAAATACTAAATTTTTCTGCTTCATCACCTGTAAAAAGTAACTGTGTCTTATCTTAAAGGGTAAACAAATCAAATTAAAGCATTATAAAAACAGAGATCTTAGAATGACTCTTAGCCCAACATTCAGAAATGTTATCTTTATTACTGATTCCTCAAAACATAGAGAACTATGTAAGTCAAGTCTCAGATACATCCATAGGAATTATCAACAATTATATTCTTATAATCTAGAAATATTTTCCAGGATAAAAATTGTTCGGAGGTTCCAAGGCACTCCACATTTGTGTATTGTGACAATACTATAACTAAAAACATATGTGTGCTGAACAACAATTTTCTTTAGCATAAAAAGTCCTACCTTTATAAAAAATGCTACCATTTTAGTGAGCCAAATGTATTCTTCTACAGAAAAGCAGATGTTTTGCAAGAAAATGTTTTCAATTACATGGAATATACTGCCAATTGACAAATATACTTCTATACAACTTGGTGGTGAAACAAAGACACATATTCTGCACACATATTTAATAACCAAACCCCTAAAGATTGGCAATTTAAACATATTTTAATGTTTAAAGAATTAAATTTCCTATACAGAGATGACTTTACCAGTCCCCTATCAAAAAGGCATGTACTTAAAGTTTTTTCCAGGCATGGTCATGGTTTATGCTGACCCAGCTACACTCACTAAAGTATGTTCCATTTTGGCCAACAACAATCATTTGAGGGATGGCTGTTCAGGGACTGTAATGCTGGCCATGGTCAGAGAAAAGAAAGATCCCAGTTCAGGCCCTTCCTTAGCATCTAGATTGCTCTAAGTAAATGAACCAGCTGCAGACAAATATGTACTTAAAACTAATCTCTCTGAAGAGAAAAGCATAAGAATCTCAAGATTTCAATTTGTTTTGCCAAACATTTATTCTTGGAAAACGAGCTTCAAACAAGAGCACGCAGCTTCTCCTGAAAAATTCACTGAAATATTCAGCAAAGAACACAAAGTAGATATAGGAATGCTGCTCATCTCTCTCACTGTTCTTCACACTAGTCAAAGTTTACTAAAGAATTTGTAGAGTCCTGCAAAACAAATGGGAGTGACAAAAAGGAAGAGAAAAAGGCATTCTAGGTAGAGGGTCAAGTACAAGCTAGAGGAAGGAAATCACGAAGGGACATGATTTGTAAGGGCGAGTGGCAAAGGACGAGACTGGACACATGGAAGTGGTCACTGTATGCCAAGCTCAAAAGTTTGAATTTTTTCCTAAAGGTTAAGACAGACCATTAAATCATTTTAAGCAAGATAATAAGAGATCAAAAGTGCATCTTTAAAGGATAAATTCAGTGGTATTTTGGAGACTGGACCATGCATATGGAGGGGAGAAGAGGAGAAGCAGTGAAACTGGTTATTCGAGTCCCAGAGAGATGAAATTCCAGCATTCTTTTCCTAGAAAAAATTTTGAGGCAATCAAAAGTTGTTTCTACTGGTGATTAAAAAACAAAAACAACAACAATAACAACAAACTTGAAAAGCAATGAAGGAATTAGAATAGCAAGAGATCAGTAGAGAAAGTGACCAAATATAACACCTCACTTACCCAGGACCATCTGAATAGACTGCTCCACATACCTGTTCCAGAAAATGACAGCTTATCCCTTTAAGTACCAGAAGTAACTTCTGAGCTTGAAGAAAATCTCCTGAAAGTATTATTTCTTCTTTCTCAAACAGAGTACAGGTAGCCTGAAAATAATTTAACTAATCCTTGTTGACCCAGAGGCAGCATATTAAAATGAAATTCCGAGCCAGACTCACCCGTTCTTGGTCCTTAGAACCACCTGACATGGACACTTCTCAGGCACAGCGGGCCTTAGTTGCCTCTTCTACATGAGAGAAACCTTTGCCAGCCAAGCTGTGGGGAGGTTTGAACAGAATGAAGCAGCACTTACAGGTGGGATTTTTTTTTTGTTTGCTTGAGTGGCTTTATTAAAATTTAGGGCCCTTTTGACTTGTTTTTGGGACTGCTTTCCCACCAGATCTTCTCTTTAAATTTTTTCATCTTTTAAAAAAAACAAACCATATTGAGTCGATCCCCATTCCTTAAATTATTTGCAGGCCTCAGTTATCTATGTAAAACCAACTTTTAAAAACAATTCTTTCAAGATCTGTTCTTTACAGAATCATTACAAATCATCATCAAAAAAGTCATAAGTTGAGGACTACTAAACCAGAGCCCAAGAGAAAACAACTGACTTCCAAAAGAATTGACCTCAGTGGAGAGGTTATGTCAACCTCACTGCTATACTCAGCTCCTTCTCATTCATCTGTACAATATAAACAAAGCCACTTTCTCATACCTTTGGGTTTTTTGGATACAAAAACCATATTATTTATACCCATCAACCATGAAGGTAGAAGAAAGAGAAGCAAAAAATGGATACCTAGCTGTTAAAGAATTAGGAACATGACCATGACACTTTTATTCTAAGCAGAAGGAAAGCAAACTAATTTCAAAAACAGGTTTTCTGTAATTTGTTCCTTTAACTAACCAAGTAGTGTTTAAAGCTACTCCAAACACCTCATTAATTAAAAAACACCTGAAACCTTACTATGGGTGAGGTGACAGGGAAACTTTGTCTCTGAAATAGGCATCCTAAATACCAGCCCCTGTGTGTTAATTGTTTTCTCAATCAAATGCACCTCTGAGGAACCTGGGTGGCTCAGTGGGTTAAAGCCTCTGCCTTTGGCTCAGGGCATGATCCCAGGCTCCTGGGACTGAGCCCCATATGGGGCTCTCTGCTCAGCGGGGAGCCTGCTCCTCCCCTCCCACCCCACCCCCAACCCCCACCTGCCTCGCTGCCTACTTGTCATCTCTGTCAAATAAATAAATAAAATCTTCAAAAAAAAAAAAAAATGCACCCCTTACTACCTGTACTCAAAACCTGACACTGGTTTACTTAATCACTTTTATTACAACCACTCAAAGTGACTATTATTGCCCTCGTTTTCCAGTTAAGGAAACTGAAGCCAGGAAAGTTAAGTGACAGTCCAAGGCCACACACATGAAGGAGTTTCCTACAGAGTCTCGAAACCTAGAAGGAACCTGGAGAAGGACTTAATTTCCGAGGCTTCCCATAGTATTCTTCACTAAAGGGGCCCCAGGGCCTACCACAATTGGGTATATATTATATGGTGGTCGCTTGAAAGCCAATTGGGTAAGAGAACTGTTTCACAAGGAAACGCCGGCCAGAAAAGGGCTTCGTTCTGGAAAAGCCCATCAACTAAGAACTACCCTGGGGTCCTGGGAACCACATCTTCCCTAGGAGGACGAGCCTCGCTGCCTTTTCCCCAAGCCAGACAGTCAACTCTGGGGAAGTGGCACGTACAGGCAGAAAGGGGCTGAGGTTTAGCTCAGGGTGGACGTGAAGGCCTTTCGTTTCCGGAACCCACCACAGCCTTTATCTCCAGAACCCCAAAATGCGTCCGCGGTAACCGCAAAGGAGCGGTCGGAGCCTAAGCCTCCCCCTCCCAAAAGCGTGCCTACGCCCCGACCGCTACGTCAGCACGCCACCGTGACGTCAGCACGATGCAGCTCGGCTACGGAAGGGGTCCAACGGGGCCGCGAAGATGACGCCTCAGCGAACGTTAGTGGAAACCACTGCCATATACCTGTGCTCTCCGGCCCTGGGTCGGCTAGGAGAGAGAGGGACGCAGGGGGCAGTGCCGCAGGTAAAATCTAGAAAGGAAGCCAAAAGACGCGAGGTGGCAAGCAGGCGAATCCCTAGAACTGCTTGCAGTGGAAGGGTGCCCGCCCTGGTGCAAGTGGAACAAAGCAGCGCTAGTAACCTCCTGTGGCTTCTCTGGCAACGGACGCCCCGCCCTTTGCTTCGGGCCCACAGCCGAAGCAGCCGATTGGCTGGGCTCAGGAAAGCAAGGGCCTCCGTCTGTTGCGATTGGCGGGAATGAGGAGGCGGGGCCTGGGAGAGGAGCTTTGTTTCTCAGTTGCCGCTCTGGGTAAACTTTTCCCGCCCGCGCTTCAAACCTTTTGTTTTACGGGAGAGGCCTCACTTTCGTATAGTTACCAAAAATATCAATTGAGCTCAACCTAGAAAAGGAAATAAGACCGATAGATTCCGCATTTTCTTAACAGTTGGCCTGGAATTGCCCTGCTTTTGCTTTTTAAAGGGGACAGTTGAAAAAGCCCAAGCAACCGCGACTACAAAGGAACTTTGTTTTAAATATATAGTATTGCTGTTTAGCTGAGATCTTTCCCAGGCCTTTTCTTCTGTTAAATTAGGGACCTGGACGGTGATCTAAGGCGACTTTCAGATTTCAAATTCTTTTCATCTGTACGACAGGCAACGAGTATGATCTCTATGCTCCTGAACAAGCCAGGCGAAGTTTACCTGGGAAACTAAAAAAGTCTCCACCTCACCTTGAAGTTCGTGTTAATAATTGTGCACCATCAAGGGAGATAAGCAAATAGAGCGAATTTCACATGTCAGTTAAGCAGTTAAGCCACGCCATGGCATACTTCATTATTGGTTTTATTTAAGAACATTTTCCATTGATGATTACAGCAAAGCTATCTTTGTTTTGTTTTGTTTTGTTTTCCAGTGCTGCTTGTCCAGCAAGAAGTTCATGGCAGTTTAAGAGTTCATTCATAAAGAACATATAACTGTTCCATATATGCAAATGTTAAAAAGCTGTGGAGACCGGATCCATCTCTTACTGATGGATCATGAGCTCTGGCAAGTCAACTAACGGCTACTGTGGGCTAGTCTTCCTTGTTTAAGAAAAAAAAAAAAAAAAAAACCAAAACGGAAGTGGACACGTGAAATCTGTGCAAGGAAAGTAATTTTGAGGGTTTTTCCAGCACTTACCTGGGATTCTAGCTAACCTTACTAGCTTGTCATAATAAAATAATTGTACACAGAAGTTAGGCTTCTCTTATGAAAAACACTTAATTAAATTGCATCAGTGTTAGATATAACCACCTTTATAAGACATGCAAAAGAAAAAGCAGTCACAAAATCTCAAGATGATTATATTAGATTCTCAAACTGACTATTTGAACTGCCCAGGTAAATATGGCATCTCTCATCTTCTAAATCTAATCTAAATTTGAATTTGAAATCTGGTTGGATAATGAAGTTTTGGATAGAAAGATCCCTTATTTTAAATTATTTAAATGGAAAAAAATTCATCCAGCCCACCAAAAATGCCAATCAATTTCCCCAAATATCATTAAATACTTGACTACTTACAAAATAATACATTAAGGATTTTCTCATAATTTAAAGCAGAGGCCAACGTACTTTTTTCTGTAAAAGACCACATAGTAAATATTTTAGATTTTGTGGATTATACAGTCTCTGTTATATTTATTTCTGTCCTCGATGCATAAAGATTTCATAAAGGATACATGAACACATGGTTTGGCTCTGTTCCGTAAAAACTTTATTTACAAAAGTAGATACCGGATAGATTTGGCTCAGGACAGAGTGTACAGACCTCTGATATAAAGCATTTAAAACATCATTAGTGGTACATCTGTGTGTAGGATGCAAGGTGCAATGTTGGATAGTAATTTGGTTTTCTTCCTCATAGGAACAAATATATACTATAATGGTAAAAGTAGTCATGAAATAGTAAGCTGAAATAATGAAATGAAAAGTAGTAAACAGTAAAATGAAATAGTAGTAAACAATGAAATAGTAGTTTAAAGATACTTGATGAATACAAATAAAACTTAACAAAATAAAAAAGCAATTTAAAAAAATAGTTTCGTTGTGAAATAAATTATTTTCTTAGGTTTTATTCCCCACTTGAGTTACTTGTGTTCTTTCCAACATGTTTTGGTTTTCTTTTGCTGTTTTAATAAACTTAGGGTTTAATAGAACAACCATTTTATTTGTTCATTATTCTGTGGTAAGAAATTCAGCCAGGGTTCAGCTGGGTGGGTTTTTTCCTCCATATGGCAATTGCTTGTGTCTCATCGGGTTGCAGCCAGATAGCTGCTGAGGTTGGAATATCCAAAATTATGTGTTTGGTGACTAGGTGGGCTCAATTGGAAAGCTAAGTCCTCCTTCACCCTATCCATGTGGCTCTGCAGGTGGCCAGCTTGAGCTTTTGTTCACGGCAGGTGTGTCCTAAGAGTGAGTGTCCCGGGTAGCAAAGGAAGAAGCTGCAGATCTAAGGCCACCCAAATTACACAGAACCACTTCTGCTGCTTTTTGCTATCTAAAATATATCAGAGAGTCAGCCCAAATAGAAGAGAAAAAGTAAAAGATTCCATCTCTTGTTGGGATAGTGTCAAAGTCACATTGCATCTATGGAAACACAATTTACTACACAAGGCATTGAAGTATGTGCCATTTTCTGATCATCAGGTTCTGTCAGCACAATACAATTAATGCATTAGACAAAAGTGATGTCCCATAAGGCGA